AGCGCGGGCTCTGAGCCTCGCAGAGAAGCGGGGAGAGACGCGAAGGCAAGAAGGGACTCAGATCTACCGGCCGGCGGGTGAGAGCGGCCTGAGCCGGAGGCCTCGCGGATAACTCAGCCCGCGACCTGGCGCTGCCTCCGCCGCCGCCGTCGCCTCTCAGAAGACATCAAGCGAGAAGACGGCGCAAAGGATTGCCGATTGTGCGAACGCTCCAGGCATCAAAGGGTGAGCGCCGATGCAGTCGTTCAAGGAGGCCGGACGACTGCGGAAAAGCAGCTCAGCGCCTACGCCAAGTCCGGCGCCTGTCCAAGGCATAAGTAAACAAACCCAGATAACAAGCTGTATAGCAGAGTAGCTTGTGGTTCTGCCATTTTCTGTCCCTTGCAGGCCAGATTGTTGAGAGGCCTGGACGTTTTGTGAGTGTGTTGAAGATCAAACCATAGCACCAAAATACTTTTATAGGTCAGCGGCCATCTTATGGACTCCCAGCGCTACTTATCCCAATTAAGCAAGTCATCTCACCTCTTTGGAGTCTTCCCAAATCTGTGATGCTTCCCAAAAAACCATGCGCCAAAGGGCCCACAATGAAGAATTTAAAGGGGAGAAGGCTCTCAGATACATACGCGGGGAATTCACTGCAGTTTGCAGGTACAGGCCCTGACCCCTCGGGTTATTTTGAGAACAGTGTTAACTATAGACTAAAAAAAAAATTCTGGCCTGTAAAAATTCAACTCAAGGGCCAGTGGCACCACGCCTCCCTGGCAAGTTCAAGGTCCTGAGTTCAATCCCTGGTACGCACCCCCAAAAAAACAACTCAAAATTATAGTAAACAGCCAAGCAGAATGGGACGCACCTACAACCCCACCACTTAGAAGGATCACCCCGGGCAACATAGTGTTTTTAGGACCTGAGTTATATAGTGAGACACTGTCGCCTCCTGCCTCACAAGCACAAGGACCCGAGTTCGATCCCCCGTACCAAAGGAAAAAACAAAACAAAACAAAACATTAAAAAATTGTAGATTTGAAAGTCACCCTGTGGAATTAATAAATATTTTCTGGGCGGGGCGGGGGTCCTACGGGCCAATGGTAAATCCGTTTGGCGCGGAGGCAAGTGAATAGACTCGAACTCGCTCCAATCTAATCCCTTCCTCTCCCTCCCAAGGCCGCCATCCAGGAAGTGAAAAACCCCAATATTCCTTAAGTGAAGTTAAGGCTAAAATCATAACCTAACACGCTGTCCTGCCAGCTAGGGTGCACAGCTGGTAGGAATCTGTCCTAAGGCAATCCAGTAACAACCAGAACTTCCACCAGCCATAGTAGGGACCCTGTGGTGCCTGTTACTCAAGAGGCTGAGGCACAGCTGGCTTGTTTGGCTCAGACTTTGGAACCAGCTCAGGAAACTTGGTGACTTAATGAGACTCTGACTCAAAATATACAATAAAGAAGGCTAGAGATGTATCATAGTGTGAAGGCTCTGGGTTCAGGCGCCAGGAAAAAAAAGGGTATCACCTCAGGAGGGAGGCAAGCAACCTTGGATCACAAGATAAATATATAAAGCACCCAGTGGTAGAAGGCTTGTCTAGCATGCACAAGGCCAGGGGTGCCATCCTCAATATATACAAAAAGGAAAATTTTTGCCAGATGTGGTAGTGCACACCTGTAATCCCAACACTTGGGAGGCTGAGGCAGAAGGATCACCACGAATGCCAGGCCAGCCAGGGCTACACAATGAGTTCAAGGCCAGCCTGAACCAAGTAGGGAGACTTTGTTTCAAAAAACAAAACAACAAAAAAAGAGTAAGTGTACAGTCAACTCTCCCTGACTCTCTCTTGTCCCCTCCCACCTCTGACACCCCGGGACACAGGCTACGAGGCAAGTTCCTGCCAAATGGACCCACTCTTTATAGAGAAGAATGATGGGAAACAGCGTTTGCCGTCGAAGTAACAGCAGATAATAATCCATAATTGTTTTTCATCTTGAATTCGAATGAGTCACCCACAATTTATGTCCAAATCTTTTGTCAGCTGTTCATTTACTTTGAAAATCACCAGATGAACCCGACTAAAGGCAGGTAGGAAGTGCTCCTGGGGGACAATCCCCAGGTGCTGCTAGTGAGCAGCTGTGAAACTGGAAGCAGACAATCCGCAGGAAGGTTGCCTTTCTGATTGGTTATTTTTGTATGGGTGTAATTTTGTTGTTTGTTTTTGGTACCGGGGATCGAACTCAGGACTTTGTGCTTGTGAGGGAGGTGGCAGAACCACTGAACTAAAGCCCCAGCCCAGTATGGGTATAATTTAAGAACCAGACTCTTGAGGGGACTGTTTATTTGCTGAGAAGCTCTGTCCATCACTCTGTATACAAGATCTCTCGTCCAGAATGCATTTCAAACCCAGCAATTATATTTTCCTTTTACTTCCTTCACCCCCTCCTTTTTGATTTTGTTTTGTTTTGAGACAAAAACTTGCTATGTATTCCAGGCTGGATAGACTGAAGTCACAGCAATCCTATCTCAGCCTTCCAAGTGCTGGGACTGCAGGTGTGGACCATCATACCTGGCATCATTCTTTGTTTGTAATGCTTTATTTCCCCCCAGTACTGGAGATTGAAGCCAGGCCTTGTACATACTAGGCAGGTGCTTTACCACTGAGCAACATATCCAGCCCTTTATCTTGACTCAGGATCTCCCTGAATTGCCCAAACTGGCCTTGAACTTGTGAACTTTCCGAGTCAGCTTTTTTTATATTAGTCCATGTATGCAGTACATAATGATTATATTCATCATGCATTAGTACTTGTACATATAACATCTTTCTACGTCCCCTTCTTTCCTCCACTTTGTCAGCCTCCTGAGTAGCTAAGACTACATGATCAGTTTCCTTTTAATGTTATGTTACTGAGACAGGGTCTTGCTATGTAGGTCAGGCTGGTCTTGAACTCACCATGTAACCCAGGCTAGCCTTGAACTGGTGGCAATCCTCCTGCCTCAGCCTCCTTAGTGCTGGGATTACAGACATGCACTATCCTTAATACTTTGTAACACCTTACTATTTACTTCCTAAACCTTTCTTCTGTACAAGGAATTTCCAGAGAATCACCAAACACATATTCTATCATCATGGCCATAAGAAATGTGATCTAACTGCACATCTGTAACCCCAGCATTCTGAGAAGCTGAGAAAACCCCCAAGTTCAAGCCCAACCTGGGCAATTTAGCAATTTAGCATGACCCTGTCTCAAAAATTTTAAAAGGGATGGGGATGTAGCTCAGTGAGAAGGCCCAGGGTTCAGTCCCCAATTAATGCAAAAATACAAAACCCAAAACCAACCCAAAAAGCACGCAGAGCTGCAAACCTGGAAGAGTAGCCATTTACTTAATCAGAAGACTGTTCCCCAGCTAAATCTGTTCTTTATGTTTGTGTCCACAGTCAGCAAAGCAGCAAAGTCAAGCTACCACCCCAATAATTCAGTACAAGTACTATTTTCATTTGCAATTTCCAGATCATCAAAACCAAAACAGCGTTTTGGCTAAGTGCAGTTTTCCCCTTTTCTGTGGCTTTAAGGCCCAGCTGTGTTCACAACCAGTGACCTTTCAGATGAGCAGAGATTGACCTGTAGTTCACCAGACAGCAGAGAACCATTGTCTTGGTTTTAGATTAGTTAACCCATTTGCAAAGAACCTGTATCTTCCCTAATTTTGCTTTTTGGTTTTCTGAGACAGGGTCTCACTGTGCAGCCCAGGCTGGCCTTGAACTCAGTCATCCTCCTACCTCAGCCTCCCGAGTGCTGGGATTACAGGCGTGTGCCACCACCTGGCTGGAATCATGCCCTCCTGGCACAGCCCCAGCCCTTCTAAAACACAGACGCAGTGTGGATTCGTGAAGCCTCCACACAGCAGCCAGTGGCTGACAGAACCATGGGTGGAGGTGGAGTGCATAGGAAAGCTTGTCGCAGTCCCCCTGGAAACAGTCTCCCCATCAGCTGAAATGCGCCAACACGAGCTCCTGGCGGCTGCGGTCGGCCTCCAGGTCCAGGGACTCCATGGGCTCATACTCCTCCTCCAAGGGCTGCTGCACAGGCCCTGCCACTGGGGAGGACCAGACGTCCATGCCGTGTTCCAGGGAGATGTTGTGCAGGACGCAGCAGGCCACGACGATGTGACTGGACTTCTCAGGGGAGTACTGCAGCGCCCCCTTGGACCCGTCCAGGCAGCGGAAACGGGAGCAGAGCGTCCGCAGAGTTTTCTCCATCACACTGTGGGTTGCAGAGTGTGCCAGGTTGTAGCGATCTTCCGCGGGGGTTTTTGGGAGTGGGAGTGGGGTCATGAGCCAGGTGCGGAGAAAGAAGGAACTGTCACCTGTGTGAAGGCCCAAAGTTAGAAGTGATTACCAGGAAGACTGCAGACAGGAAGTGAAATTCAGCTAGCATACCAGTGCCTGTCTGTAATGCCAGCTATTTGAGAGGCTGAGACCGGAAGATCTTAAATTCAAGAACAACCTGGAAGCTTAGACACATTGGGGGGGGCAGGAAAGAGGGCTGGGTATGCACAGCGATAGAGTGCTTGCACAGCACGCCTGAGGCCTTGGGGAAGAAAAAAAGTGATATTACATTTACAGCTAAGCGTGCTGGCACATGTCTGTAATCCCAGTACCCAGGAAGCTGAGGCAGGAAGATCGTTGTGAGTTTGAGGCGAGCCTGAGATATACACAGTGAGTTCAAATTCAAGGCCAGACTTAACTGTAGAGGGAGACCTTATCTCAAAAAACAAAAAAAGAAACAGAGGATGGATAAGAAGACACAACAGCCTCTGAAGTGAAAAGCTCACCAGAACACTACAAAGTAAAGTAATATCCTAAGTAGAAGACATGAGTCTGGGCTGGGAATACCTTTGGTTAAAACCAACAGAAAAAATGCTGATACCAATGAAGGCCAAGTCTGAAAAAAGGTAGGAAACAGGAGGAGGCACTGAAAAAAAAAAATTTTTTTTCCTACTAATCCCTATGTAGGCTAAGCTTTCCTCAAACTTGGTACCAGCACTCAGAAGGCTGAGGCGAGAGAATCTCATATTCAAGGCCAGCCTGGGCTATATAGTAGTTCAAAGGCAACCTGGACTACCTAGTAAGACTTTGTCTCAAAAAAGCACCCCCATCCCCGCAAAACAACTCCTTCAAAAAACAAAAACCCTATCCATGGCATGTTATAATTCACAATTTCTGAAAAGCAAGATGCAGAAGAGCAAAAAATTCTATCAGGAGATTAAAAAAAACTTATAAGGAAAGTTTCTATTTACTATATAAACTTTCAGTTCTGGAAACACTACACAGAGATTTCAGAGGACAACAGTAACTTATGCTCGTGCTGAGAATAACAGTATGAAAGTCCCAGCATCTGTGGCCATCATCAGAGCTCAGGTGTTCTTCCGGGATAGTGTTACATATCAGGAGACCACTTAGTTGGGAGGCTGAGGCGGGAGGGTCTCTTAGAGCAGTGGTAGCAAAGCTACAGCACATGTCCTGCAGGGGGCTGTTTGAGTCACTGACATCATAAAAAATTCACTGTCACTGTCACAGACCCACAAGTTAAAAGACCAGTCTGGGCAACACAGCAAGAGCCTGTCTCAAATAGATTGGATAGAAAGACAGAGAAGCCAGTAGGAGCTCAGGTACGCTGCCTTTGCACATACTATCGTCACTAGAACCGTACTTTAAAAGAGGGCCTGGGAGAATCACACTAACAAAGAGAACGGGTACAAACAGTAACAGCCCAGGAAAAGGAAATGCAATCAGAAATCAATGAAAACAGCACACACCAGGCACTCCCCGGAAGTGACCTCGTGATCCACCACCCCGGGAGTGCTAGTGGAAACAAGGCAGGGTGCAGGGTGCAGCGCTCACACAGCAGTTTCTCTGTGGCCTTTCACAGCCCTGATTCACAGTGTCAGACAGATAGGGTCTCTCACGAGACAGGTCCTCAAAAACTGGGGACCGAGGAGAGGCCCTGGAGTAGCAAATCACACCATCATCACACTCTGACTGCCGGATACTTCAGCACATACTTCAGGCTGTTCAGGCAGTGCTAGGCACTGTTCCAAAAATAGTCTGATTTTCTTCCAATACCCGGAATTGAACTCAGGACCTTGCGCTTGCTTGCCAGGCAGGCGAAGTGCCACGGAGCTACATCCCTGGCCCTCAAGCCTTTTATTTTTGAGAGATTTGGGGTTTTTTTGGTTTTTGGTGTTTTGGTTTGTTTTGGTTTTTTTGAGACAGGGTCTCACTATGTAGTTGAGACTGGCCTGGAATTCACTATGTAGTCCAGGGTGGTCTCAAACTCACAGTGATCCTCCTGCCTCAGCCTCCCGAGTGCTGGGATTACAGGCGTGCACCACCATGCCCGGATAGAGATTTGTTAATTTGGCAGGCTGGCCTTGAACATGCATCCTCCAGCCTCAGCCTCTGGAACACAGAGATTTCGAGATTATTATCTAATCCTAACTCTGGCAGGTTAAATATTCATTTTATAAATGAGATCAAAATAATACCTCAGCTATCCTTTGCTATGTCAAGCAAAAGAAGGAGCTAGAAAGTAAATACTAATGTCAGAATCACTAAAACGATGGTGAAATGTGGTAAAGGAAATAAACAGATAAAACATCTATGATGAATGCCTAAACACAGAGATGCGAAATGATGTTTGTTGGTTTCTCTAGGCAGCCAGGCATGGTGGGGCACATCTGTAATCCCACTCAGGAAGCTGAGGCAGGAGGATCACTGCAAGTTCAGGGCCAGTCTGGGCCACATAGTGAATTCAAGGCCAGCAGGAATTATGCAACATGACACTGTCCCTTCCCCGCTCTCCAAAAAAGTGAGACCTTGTCTGAAAAAGTTTGTCTAGAAAATGATATGGGGGCGGATTCAGGACAAGCTACTTAATGTAATCTTTTGTCAAATGCTCCAGCAAATACAAGCACCATGGGAAAACACTCAGGAGGGAGTTAGGGTCAGAACTGCTGCTGTGATCAGTCATCCACAAGACATTCTGGCAGGTCTCACCCTAAATTGCTTCAGGACTAGGACAAGGAGCTGAAGCAGGAAGAGAGAGAGAAATTTAGGTAACTGCCCTGAAGGGATAGGAAAGGGTCCCTCTCAAGCAAAAACACACTAGGGACATAAAGGTGGATTGAGGCTAGCTCTACATTTGACAAACGTAGGACTATTCCAGAAATCTGATGAAGACACAAGCAGCTGTCTAATCTCTCCTTTCTCACTAAAACATCTAACAGTCACTCCTTCAGTTCCTGACAAGCTTCCCTGAGGGAATCATCCCACTGGCTGCATGAGCTCCAGTTTTCCAGTCACACAAATCATTTTTATTTGAAAATGAATGTCTACCAGCCTAGCCTACAGTGAGTTCCAAGTCAGTCCCAACTACATGAGACCCTGTCTCAAAAAACAAACAAAAAAAAATAAATAAAAATGAATGTCTAAGCCGGGTGTGGTGGCGCATGCCTATAATCCCAGTATTCAGGAGGCTGAGGCAGGAGGATCGCTGTGAGTTTGAGACCAGCCTGGGCTACACAGTGAGTTCCAGAGCAATCTGACCTACACAGTGAGATCCTGTCTCAAAAAG